CAGCAGCATCATCCGTACCACGTGTGTTCATATCCAGAGCCATCCATCTTGGCCCTCAGCTTCTTTCAACCATCCCCATGCTGTGGTCATTGACACACGGTGCATGTGCGTGCCTCAACCGGGAGAAGGGCATGTGCTCATTTTGTCGGCTTCCAGAGCATAGAAAACAAATAGAACACTCAACCAGCTGGCAACAGGAAAGGCCCGTCACTTCTACGTGGCGCGCATCGGCCACCCAGGAGAGGCTGGAGCTAAGCCCCTGTGACCCGGCACTGAGTTGTGGGGTTCAGGGGTTCAGGGTTGGAGCCTTTGAATCCCTACCGCACAGACTGCTCTTGGGCTAAGAACAGACAGGGTGTACGCACTCTGCGGGCAAGATGGTGTTCAGCTCAAGTTTGTTTCGACTGGATCTGCGCTGCCTTGCATCTCTCAAGGACGGTGATCGAAGGCTCCAAAAAGGGGAAGTTCAGCAACTCGTCCAACTAGGCTGCTGATGGGAGTGGGTCGCAGTTCGCTAGAGTTCGATGAAATCCCCGACAAGGCACCATCGTACTCCGGGGTGGTGGGCATCACCCCGACGTCCGGGACCTGGACAAAGGGCTTGGGGAAGGGAGCGAGGCAGATGTGGCGCTGTAGCCCCTGAGGCGTCACATTTCCTTGCAAAGGCGAAGAAGGCCTTTCTGTTTCCGATTGGTGAAAGCTTAAGGTTTCCGCCGACTAGTCGTTAAGCAACAGCTCAGATCGAGCCGCAGTTGACAGCGGAAGCGCAGTTTCCGTGGCCCGGTTGATCACTGGGTGGAGCTGCCTGTGGGAAAACACTCCAAGATTGTTGCAAGCTTGGCTCCTCGCAGTTGTTTCGCGCAAGCTTTGCTGGTTGCGCTTGTCCACAGCTGGCAATGTCATGTCGACATGACTCGTAAGTCGTAAGCCTTGCCTTGCCGTGCCGGCGGCTGCGGCCAGAACACGATTCTCAGGGACTGCATGCACGGTTCCACAAGCGAGAGCGCAAACAGTCCATCATTGCTTCAAGGATTTTCAAACTGTCCATGGTTCTTCCTTTTTTCCTCAACTTCTCATGCTTGCAAATCCCCGTCTACCTTGTCTCCGCCGGAAGAGGCATTTAGGAGCGTTCAAAAACCGCCAAACATAACCTGCATCACAACTTTAGCCGAAATTCGCTCATCGCTCTTGCATTGGATTTCAGTTTTTGGTGTTTTGATGGTGTTTTACAGGAAGTGTACTGGTTGCTAGTCTGGAGCAGCACGGTTTTGCTTGTGGTGGTAGGGTCGACCATGTGCACAGGCCGAGGACTGAGCACAGGTGGCAAGTTCGTCCGTGCAAACGCAGATTGCAATTATGTTAGACCAGCCAGCTCGGGTGATTGAGACCGTTTGCACCCCATGCTTTGCTGGACCGGAGGTTCTGCGCTGGGCTGTGCGCCTGGCTCGGCACCTGCAGCTGGAGAAGCCCGGATGTATACGAGCCATCGCGTCGCCTTGACAACGTCAGGTCCGTGGGGTGTTGCAGTCTTGGAGGGATCTCGTCCTCGTTTATGATCTTAATGATGTCAGTCAGTCTGTCCAGGCTGCATAATTCGATGCACACTGATCGGAGATGCTGCTTGCTCTTACCGTTCAAGCTGAAGCTAAGGAGTGAACTTCTCTTTGAAATGTGGTGCAGCCGATGGAAGCGAGAGATCAGCCATGCGAGAGAAGGCCGCAAGAGCCATGATTCGCATGTTCATGTATACCTCATCTCTTGCTTTGGTCAGAAGTCCGGCCCTCCAAAGCCCACTTGGACAGGCGGTCAGCCAGAGTTTGAGAATCTCGACATCTTGTACTACAGTGTGGCTTGGTATGTTTGCATTGAGACATGGCCACATGCAGCTGCAGTATGTTCATCGTTTTCCACAATGTCCGTACCTCCTGCTCTTAGTCTTGCACGGTGTTGGCCTTCGTACCGTGCGTTCAAACGTTGCCTGCTTGCAATATGAGGTCAACCGGGACAAGAGTTGCTCTGCTCTCTTCCGCTGCCGCTTTCCGCCTTACCACAGCCAGGACGAAGAGGCAGTTCGTGGAGCAGCGCAATGCAGCATGTCCATGTTGCTTGCCCGCGGCGATGATTCATTCAACACACTTGCAGAAACCGTCTGGATTTGGTTGGAAGGGTTTGCTTAGTTTACTTGTCAGGCTTCGAGCACCGAACGTGAGATTGTCACAATGCGCGACTGCACCGTCCGCGAATGGCTGGAGTCGTGCCTGAAGCGACCTCAGGCACAGCTGTCATGTACATTTGCAGCCGGAGGGCCGAATCTGTAGCTGCGGCTCGTTTTTTCATATAGAGAAGTCCGGCTTTGTCCGATAGTGTCATTAGAATCTCTCATTTTGCACTGGATCCACGTTTTTGTGACCCGTGGCAACAGAATCAGAGAATGTGTCGTCGCTACGTGTGACATGCTTTGCAGGCACAGACCCCCGCACCTTCTGCGACAGCGGCCCTCTCCACTGAGGCTGCCAATGATAGTCGGAGGGACTAGATACTGCTTGGGCAATTAGATGTACCAGAAACTTGTAGGACCGTGTGTCTGAACGTGCAAGGACGCTGTCCTGACGGCAAGCATGAACACCATCGGGAACTCCTTTCGCGAGGGTGACTTGTCAATGCTTGTCTTCGTCGGGGTGGTCAGAAAGTGTTGCTGCCAATGAAGAAGAGAGTTTCGACATGGCTTGCTCAAGAATAGGACAGCCCTGTGCGTCAGAGATTCGTTTTGAAGCTTGCAGGACTTCGATTAAGGCTTAAGGGTTCTTTCTCGTCTTCAGGACAGAAGCAACCATGCCATGTTCGCTAGCGCAGTCTATGTAGTCTTGCAGAGAGCCAGCTGGTCAATGTAGCCTGTGAAACCCAGGACTCGGATCATTGGCTTTCCTTACGAGTTTTCCAATATCCCCTTCGTGAGAAACACCCCAGACACAGGCTCCCACACGAGCACCAGTTCAGTTGCGAGAGTGCCAAGAAGGACGCAGCGACGGAACTTCCACGGACCCACCTCTGCCTGAGCTGGGCAAGGCAGGGAATTTCAACGTGATCTGAGAGGAAGTGATGAAGGCTGGCGCTCTGGAGTCGTCTCTTGACTCTTGAAATGTCTGTACGCATGCCAATTCTCTGCCTTCGGAATTGCGACATCCTGAAGCTTCAGGTGTGGCGCGGGGATTAATTAGATGGGTGAGGCCCCCCAAGACACTCAGACTATCATGAACGACCTGCCAAAACACGGTCCCTTGTCGGAGTGCAGGGATGAGTTTTGGAAGTGCTTCTGATCGGAGGTGCTTTGCTTTCAGCGGCTCCGCAGCCGTGTCGCGCCCTGTCGGCCTGGCAGTGGCTGAAATGGGCCATCAGGGTATTTGCACAGCTTTGGAACAAAGCTGGTATGCGGTTCTTACAGGATTCTGCAGGCGATTGTTTGGAATGTGACTGAAGCCCCATGTTCCCACACCTTCGAAGCTCGAGGAATCAGTGGAATCGAACACGCCTGAGTTGAGGTCGTCGAGCTCCTCGAGAGCAGCGAGGAGTGACCGTCTCCATTCTTCTATTGCATGGCGGGGAAGAGTCACATTAAAGATCGCCTGTGGCAAACAACGGCGACAGTTGACGTCGTTGTCGACAAAGGTCTGAATGTAAACCATGGTTGAGGGGTCTCGAAGAGTTGGTTAGGTTATTGTTCGTCGAGTACTTGAATACGCATTGCATGTGGCTGATGGCTTGTTAGGTCTGCCAGTGCAGATTGCCAGCTGGTGGTCTGAATGTTCAATTGAATGCCAACGGAAATGGTTTGAAGATAATACATGGGAAGCCTTGAAGGGGCCACTGCAGGGTCCGTATTCCACATTGTACAACGCAGTACTCCAAGTCGCTTTTTGTGCCCAAGTCTCCAGGAGCGCGGGCGGCTGAGGTCCATGCCGGGCGACCTGCGAAGTACAGAGACAGGGCCAACCTTCACGCGCTGGCCTCTCGGCACACGACCACCCCGGCCATAAACTTGAAATCAGACCGTCTAGAAGCCTCAGATGCAGAAAAGCCTAGCCACAGAAGCCCCTTGCGAAGGTCGGCGTTGCAGAAGCCCGGGGAGCAGGTGCAAGCACTTTTGTCCACGACTCTGTGCATGGGCTGCCCACATGTGGAATTGCGCGATGGCTTGACGTTGGCTGTTTAGCTGCTTGCCGACTTTTGCTTCGCAAATGGGCAGGTGGAGTCCTGCAGCTCCTCAGCCGAAGAGGAGTGGGCGAAGGGATTTCGAGGACAAACAATTCTTTGGCTAAGGCTCTCAGATCCAAGCGGAGGATCCGTCGGGCTCTTCGCCTTCTTTCGAGCGGTGCCTTCGCTGCATCTGCAGGAAGCACTTCTTCAGTCCCTGCAGTGCACTCTACTTCCCCTAGCTGTCCCTCCGTCCGATTCCAGCCTGAACAGTATCCCCAAGTCCTGGCCCCAAGCAGCATGCATAACCCACATTCCATCAACAGCGTTGGTGCCAGTTTCGGAGTCGAGACAGGACAGCGTGGAACAGCCAGAACCAGCCAAACAGGGCCAGCCAGATGAAAAAGCACTGAACGAGCAAGAGAAACTACCGATCGTATTAGGACCACAGATGGGACGGGGGAAGGTGGTGGTGATGATGATGATGATGCTGACGATGTTGAGGAGATCAGTAAGAAGACGAGTCGAAATGCATAGTTTTCAGACCCGTGCTGCCAAGTCCTCGAAGCCTGCGTCCAGGAAATCCGGGGACAAAGAGCCCCGGCTGACGCTGGAGCTGTGGCGATTCTGCCGGAAGTGCAGCTGTCAGGTGAGAACCAGTCTGGCGCTACATTAGACTCTGACTATGCCCGGTCTTGTTGCGCGCTAGGAGAAGCGACATGTTGCCGCAAACAGGTTACCGCATCATGTTATTTCAACTTCGCATGCTTTATTTTGGTTGGGTTAGTGCCTGGGGTCGACTTTGGAAGGTCACTCCTCGGAGCGCCCTTTCCGAGTCGGCCAGCTGGCACTCCATGTCCAAATTCCTGGACAGGGTCTGTGGGTTTAGGCTTGGGGTCCTTAACTTTCAAGAGTTTAGGAATCAGGAGTAGCTTTGCCCACAGGCATGTATATGGGTCTGGCCTGACGAAGGAAGCTTAGGGTGGGCAGTGCGGGATGGAGTCTGCAGTGGCTTGGCTGGGGGCCTGGAGGCCACCTGTGTTTTGCAGGCTGGTTCAAGCATCGAATCGTGAGCTGATAGTTGTGGCATGTCGTGGCATGCAACGTCAGTGCAGTCCGGCATGATGCCACGCTTCCCGCGTTGCATTTCCCACAGTTCATTCCGAATCCTTGCCAGCTCGGAGGACATTCTCCTGCACAACACCACATCCGAATTTTCACCTCTGGCATCCAAGTTGCTGCCCACTCCGCCTGGGACACCATGCACACACGTGCCGTTTCGAGAGTCTCGCCGCTGTTAAGTTTGGCAGGCTTAGGTTTTTTCGATACCGTTTCTGCAGTCCAAGCTTGTCAGGCACGCGCAACAGCCTAGGACCACATCCTCTTCTGCGGCAGTCCGGAGCGGCCCACTCTGTTCTTGGGATTTAAGCTTCTCGGAAACGCATTGCAAGGGCAAGCCGAGTGCCGGCCGAATCAGGATGTGATGCTGTGGTGTGGTATTTGGTCATGTTACTCCCATGCCTGCAAATGACAAAGCACCACAAGTTTCAGGTTCTCGTCAGCGGACTGCTCTTCTGTTTTGCATCGTCACCCGGTTGCTTAGGTGGGAGGCCGTGCTGCTGTGGCAGCTTAACAGCCCGCATGCACCTCTCTGGGATGCGGCGACGGGGCTCTTCCTCCCAGCGCCAGCCACGGAACCTCGGTGAGAGATGCAACTTGCTACGTAGATTCAAATCGTGGGTCTTGTAGCATTCCTGCTCACGGGCACAAGGCAAGTGTTTTGTGTTATGCGGCAGAAGGAAAGTCAGGAGGCTACTAGTGCAGAGCTACCGCATGCAGCATCGACAAGGTCTTGGCAAAGGCATAGAAACGCAGGCATGGCGAGAGCGAGCTCGAGGAGGAGGAGGACTCTTCGTAGCCGGACCCAGGCACCCGCTCCACTGGTATCGTTTCAGCGAGAGGCATGCCTTTGAGGGCCGCTTGACATCTGTAACGAGACGGCGTGGCGTCTTGTTGCAGATGTCAGTGAAGCCCGGGTAACTGCTGTGAAGAGTCGTCCTCCTGCAGCTCGCTACCGCATGCAGCTCTTCCAGACGGTGACTTCGATTGCAGGGACGAGAGCAGAAGGATCGGTAACTTCGGCATCAATTTGGGGCTCAACTTGATGTTGCCAAACGAGATCCTGGCGATGAAAGCTGCAGAACGCCACAGTCAAATACTGAAGCCTTGGAGTCAAGCTGCAGTTCCAACCCTGACAATCGGCGGTGGCCTGCAGCTTCTGCAGGTGGGAGCCCGACCCGAAAGACAACTCTGAATGGATGCGAAGTATTAAAACTGGAAACCGTCCACCATTAATTAATAGGGTGGCCGAAGGGAAGACCTGCAGCAAACACCAGCTTGCTTAGAGGCAGTTTCGTCATAGGCTAGCTGCTGCAGGATGTTCCACCTGCATACGTGGCCAGCTCACGGACGGGTTGTGTGCACTTTCTGACTGCACCAAAGTGGAACATCAATTTGAGGGAGACCCGGATTCTTAAAGCGTTCATGCAATTACAAATGGCATTTTCAGCGTCGGTTTTCCGACTTGCAGCCCTCGCAAGTCAAATCGCTCACACGCCCACCGGCAGGGATGTCAGCACAGCACGTTCTTGTTTGTGGGGTGTTCTTAACAAGGGTCTTAAAGAACGGCACCGACAGCACCGATCCGGCTCAGCAAGCTGTCCCATCGTGTGCCATGTACAAGCCGTGAAGAAAGCTTGGGTTTGGAGGGAGGGACTGGCCCACCACGATCCGAACAGTCCGGAACCCGGCCCGACCCCGGGAGCCCGCCTCACGCAAGCCCACAAGGATGGCCAGGAGAAGCCCGGCGAAGAGCAGGGCGCCGAGGGTGCAGAATCGGTGCCTGCAGCCCCAGAGCAGCTGTGCAAAGTGCCTCAGCTCGCTTTGGAAGAGAAGGCTTCGGGGCTAGAGTGGCTGGAGGTCACCTGAAGCCTCGGACAGAGTCCGTTTGCTAGGTGCTGGTCGAGCTGGAGGCGTTGCAGGAGCGCATTGCAGAGTTCATCCGCAGTGTGTTGATCTGCCTCTCCACCATCGAGTCCGAGGACATACTGCCTGAGAAGGGTGAGCGTCGGGAAGCTCCGGAATCATAAGAGTAATGAAGCCGCGAGCCGAGCCGACCCGTGCACTTGTGTGGAAAAGTCGAAACGCTGAAGCAGAGGATCTCGTCTTTAGGGGCACTTCGGCCGAAGGTTTCAAAAGCCGTTTTTGCGGGCTTGCAATTCAAAACCACGCGGAACGCTTCGTGCTGCGACGCTGCGTGCTGCGGGCGCTGTTGGTGAATTCTCCTCTTGACATTTTCAAGTTGTCAAGAAACGTGGTGGACCTTAAAACGGCAGTCTTCTGACAGCCGCCTGCGCGCTGAGCCCTTGCTAAAGAGCTCCCGGTCGCGAAGTGAGGTGTTCGTTTTTGCTGTAAGTGTGTGCATCGCATGAGAATGCATCAGCTCAACCAATGCTCGCCTCGTAGTTCATGGCAAAACTTGACATGAGCAAATACTGAAGCAGTACTTAAGTGCACCAGAAGCAAGACATTACTGGCAGCCATCAACTGTGAACCTCGCCCGCCCCACGTCCGAAGATTCTGGGACAATTTGCACTATCTCAGTGGCATTCACATCGCTTTTCACAGAAGTTCATGCGAGGTCCGACACGGTGCAACGTGTAGGCAAAGACAGCCATAAACAACAGACCAATAGAGTGCTACCTACGCAACAAACAACGTAGGTAGATGCACAAACAGAGAGGGATGCATATGCACGTGAATACCTTCCTACCTCCTTACCTACCCACTGACCGAAATAAGAACCCACCTGCGTACCTACCTACTTGCACTCCCCACACTTACACACCACACATGCATGCATGCGTAAATACGGATATACGTACAGACGTACATGCGTACGCATGTAGGTACGTACATGCACACAAACATAAATACATACATACATGCATACATACATGCATATGTACACACATACAAAAACGCGCACATACAGACAGACAGCCAGCCAGCCA